GGAGGACCCAGAAAGCCGTTAAAGGCCGCACCAGTGCCCCGTTAGGCCACATAAAAGGGGCGCAGGCGCGGCGTGAGGGCATGGACACCTGGCAGCCCCAGCTAGCGAGTACCTCATGGGGGTGGGGATCGGAGGGTGCAGGAAACAGGCCACTAATCAGCGGCATGGGGGAAGGAACCGAGCAGCCTGCCTTTCATGTGCTGGGGGCTGATTGCTCAGCCACCAAGGTGAAAGGACATACGCATGGGGCTGGTGGGCCCTGCAGATAAGGAGCCTCTTGGATACTGTCGCCACAAGGAGCCCTGCAAGGCTTCTAACCAAAAGCACAATGAATTCCCATAATCGTCTTTAATTCAATGCTGCCATTCAATATCCACAATGACATATGATCCACCATGATAACTAGGGCAAGAACTAATTTAAATGTATAATAAACTGAGCATGGAAACAGGAGAAATCAAAGTCCTTGCACCTGGCTAATTATTTTATTTATATATATATATATATATATATATATATTATATATATATAAAAAATTAAAGTCCCTTTGTTCCCCTCTGGAAAACGACATTCTGAATTGCATCAACTACAACTCTCACTTAGAGGAAATAAGGACATATTATCCTTTTCTGCCCCATTCCAAATCTTCCATGTTTGCTTAATGACTGAATTATCTTCTCTCCGGCTGCCACTGACTCACTCTGCGTTTCATAATTAGAATACTCAGCACACATTCTAGCAGACACCAAGAGGCACACATGGAAATCTCGTCTAGCCGTCCTTCCCCTAAGCACTACCTTACGTAACATCTACAGTATATTTAATGAATCTCAAAACTTAGAAAAGACTTGCGTCTTTTAAGGCTTAATTAACTGATCAAATAAATCAAGGTATAAAAAAAATATATATTTGATTGACGTGAAATAAACAAACATTCTATACACGTTAAGATGGGTCCCCTGGTAAGCTCACCTTACCACTGTAGTACAACACACACTGATGACTGCATGCAGTATCCCATGTTGGTTACTAGGAAATGTTTCACATAATGGGTGGTGAGAGAAGACAGGGAAAAAGGAAAAGAGAGACTCATATACTTGCATCATGATCAAGCCACATCACTCTAGTGCTCCACACCCACATGAACCTGGTGTTGAGGCTATCAGTAGATCGCAAATACCAGAACCTCCCTACTTGGTAATCAGACATCTTAAAAATTGCTCCAGTGAGAAGTCACTCTCTACATGCAGTACATTTTATTATAAATTAGATTGTAACGTTACATTTTCATGAAGACAATCCTAGAACAGCTTCATAAATAACTGAAAACCAGAAAATGGTCTCTCTCTCAACACGGTAATAGCCAGTGGAAGCCAATAACATGTGACTTGTGTCTGTCTGATCATGAAGCTGCTTGATTGGATATGTGCTAGAGATGCACCGATCAGATATTCAGATCAGTATTGGCACCAATCCAGACCTATTAGACCGATCGGGAATCAGCCATATGCAAGTGATCCACGTCCAATATTTTAGTTTTCGGCAGTTTGTACAAATCAATTTAACAAGAAAAAGGAACTATCTTTTAACAATCAATTGCACAACAGCTCCTTCCCCTTTTAGATATGTTTCTTGCGGCATTCAAGCTGAATGCTAACGCTGCCTCTCAGTCTTTTTGCCATTCAGTTGGTGTGAGCACAATGACTTCCACCTGCTGTGACATCATGCAGTACGAGGAGTGCAAGAACATCAGATAGTAGGGTGATGAACTTAAAAGCATAAAATACTTCTAACAACTAGTAGCACAGCAATTTGCAATCCCTGAAAAAAAGGAGGTGAAAGTAGCACTTAGTGGAAAATCCCACTAAAAGAGCATGCAATTGTGCGAGACAACGTGAGCAACGTGAAAAAAAACAATGGATGATTTGGGAATCACTAGCTTGGGCTGTTTTGCGCACTCGCTACAGCTTGTGATACACCAGGGGCTGCTATCGCAGGTGTAAGTGACACTGGTTCCAGTGGGAAAAACATTGTGGGGCATTTTAAGCATTCACCACTTGCATATCCTCACTTGGATGATATTCAAATTGAACTACAAATGCCTCAAACAAGATGCACAAATGAGGTGGAACAGTGCATTACATATGTTACCAGTAGCCTAATTGAAGCTTTTAATTTGTATTTACTAGATTTAAAAAATAATAAAGTAGAAATATTTTATATATATTATATACATACATAAATACATACATACACACACACACACACACACACACACAATCCACCCAGTACTATATCATATTAAAATATTAAAGTAAAACGAGCTATTGTATCAGAATCTGTATCGGTGTCAGCAGATTAGAATCGGATCGGAACTGAAAAACAATTTTACTGGCTTTACTTGCCGGAGGACTGTACATTGCTGCTGACATCTGCTGCTGTCAGAGTGTTTACCGAACATCTCTCCTCAAACCCCAAAGAAAGGCTTAAATTAAGGTGTGTGTGTGTGTGTGTGCACGTGTGTCTGTATGTATATTATATATCACACACACACACTAATAGAATACTGCTGTATAATGAAGACACAATGAAACATTCTAGGAAAGCAAGCAGGAAACCTTAAGGTTTAGAACCTTAACCACTGCACCCTACAGTCCTCTGTAGTTTGTCTCACAGGAACAATGGGTGCCAGTCACTACAGGAGCGGATGTGTCACCTGAAAGTTATAAGTTCAAGTTCAAAGTGGTTCTCCTGAAGTAAGAAAGTACTTTAATTTTAAAAATCTTGTTGTAGAAATGGATAGCATGTTACATGTCTGTAGCATGCATGCATTTCCTAAGCAACCCAATGGTTCGTTGCATCAAACAGATGCCCATTATATTAGACAGTTAAAAAAGCAGCCATAACAAAATGTAACTAGCAAGACAGTGATTATCATAAGGTGTCAGGAAATATCAGACAGCTACACAATACAGTAGCTCCCACTGTAGGGTGTCAATGACATGTATAGGATTATCGGCAGGGTTGCAAAGGGGAAGTTAAGATGGGGGAGTTTTGAAATTTTCCAAGTTGGAAACTTCCCATGGGACCTAATGGGAAAATGTGTGAATTAACAGGAAATTTGGTAATTTACACAAATTGTATAATATACAAACATATATAGACAGTCACAAACAGACATGCACGCAAACAATTTTTTTCCTCCAAGTTTTGACTAATTTGAGAGTAGAACTTTGATTCTTTCATTGAACAACAAAGATAAACGTAGTAATTTAATTCATTCAAGTTCCCTGTTATAGACTAACCTGCAGTTTTGCAAATTTCCAGTTTATTCCCATTAATTTCCAACTCAGAAAATTCCCAGAATTTTGTAACCCTAGTTATCAGGAGCGCTTTTTAATTCTGCCAAAAGCACCATTTGTCCATAATTTTTCCTAATAATTTCACCATTTGTCCTCTCACCACCTTGTTTAATAAATGTCACAAGGCAGTGCATGCACAAGACAGTGAAGGAATTGCACTCTTCAAGATATCAGCAGAGGAAATAAGCACTGCAATCCATGTACAATGCAGTAAGGATTTCATTTAATCTGACTGACATCTGAAGCAAATATGCCCAACGAGTGCTGAAATGGGCCAAAACAGCAGACTTTGGCAAGAAGGGGAGGATGAAGCCTTCTGAGAAGGCAACAGAAGGGAGCCAAAGATCACAGGTCATTTAATTGTGGCAGCTTAAAAGCAGTGAATGCTGAGACACTGGACCCTCTTCACCCAGACACACGTGTCACACTTATGCAATCAAATGATTTTAACCAGAGGCTCAAGACCAAGTGTCTACAGAGCAGAAACAGAGGGCTTAAACACTCAACATATATTATGCAGAAAATGAATGACTGAATAAACGAATGAATGAAAGAATGAATGAATCAACAAGCAAGCGCAGGTCATGTGAAGTAACATATATTCGTTTCTCAAATTCTCATGAAATTTAACCGCAGTTTTGATTATGAGAGAGAGAGAGAGAGAGAGAGAGAGAGAGAGAGATTAGCACCGCCAGTCAGTTTTTAAGTTGGGTAAATGGACTTCAAAATCTTTAGTAATCATGAGGGAAAGAAGTGTCAGAAAAGAAATTATAATTACGCAGATGAAAAAAACACGTGTGTGAGGGCACAAAATGAAATCATGAATTCAAAATGAAAATTGTGTTATCCCGGGAAGCCGGGATAAGCACGATGGAGTCGATGATATGAGCAGAGGCGAACGGAAGGCACACCTCCTTACAGTGGAAATGGAAAAGGCAGCGGCCGAAGTGCATGCAGGGACCATGGCCGTATCTCCCTGAGGCACGGTCATCACTATGCTAACCAAAAGGACGTAACAGGGGACAGCAGGGGGTGGGGGGCAGAGGGGTCGCAAACGACGACAGCGATCTTGGTTAAATAAACTTCCTGGGAGTGGGTCCATGTAGACCAGCAGAGCCCTACGACTCCATTCACGCAAAGCCTACTAATTTGGTTACGATACCTGTGTGGTTTTTCAGAACGGTTGTCACAACTTTAGGTAAACACAAACCAAGCAGCAGGAGGAGTTGTGCACGATCTCACTTAGCAGGAACCTTCAGCTGTACCCGTGGCGGTCTCCGAGTGCTCTGGTGCTAAACTCGGGCAACTTTTTTTACGGGCGGAAAGGAGCCTAACGAGCAGCAATAAATGCCGCCCAGCGGCTTACTATACGGCCGGGGCGTCAGGCACACGTGCGGGGCGGTTACGCGCTGAATGCCCCGTGTTCAGCGAGCTGAACAGCTAGCCAAGTTCACTCCTCCCCCGCTTGTTAGCTCGGGTACGGGTTAACCTGCCCGGGTAATTAGCGAAGCAAGGGTTACTAACTTTGCACGCGACTGAACGCACGTGAGATAAGTAATAGTAAAGCGCGGCTGAGTCCCCCTAACTAGCTGACTATCTTAACTAACCGACTTGCTTAACTAGCCTAGATAGCTTTACCTTGACAGAGTCCACAGGGTACATCACGGTGTGCTCCAGTATCCCAGCCACCGCTCCCGCTGTCATCTGCGTACTTAGGGAAGCCGTGGGCGGCAAGCTCTCGTAGGCATCCGCCTCCAGCGACTCGCCGTCGTGACTCTGGCTGCTTTCGGACATCTCGAGAGGTGTTACGACCGGTTCGACGCGCAGCTCCATGCGGGACACGGGAGGTGAAGGATGTTAACTCGCCTTCTACTGGGTCGGTGGCGACACCAGGCACACCATCATCGTTATGCCGAAACGCCGTTGTGACATAATCATACTTAGCCTTCCGAGAGGCCCAATGAAAATCCAGAGAGAGTAAAATAACATGGGATTGGCAGTGGAGTTGGCCAATCGCATGATAGGAATTGTGGTTTGACAAGCGAACCAAAAACGTCAAACTTTCCCGGACTTTATTTCTACAGATTTTCATGATATATGAAGCTACTGTCGGTTGAGAAATTAGTTAATATAAAATTTGAATGTTTTATTTAAGGTACATTTTTATCTTGACAGTTTAAACAATTTTAAAAACGTTCACGCGGTGATCTAGATAACGATCCAAAAGCCATGCAATCCAGTAATTGCTATCCTTGCGTAACATATAAAACGAAAATCAAATTGATTGATCAGAACTGAAGAGTAAAATTAAGGACTTACATTTTTAGCTGCGTTTTTTTTTTTTTGCTATGGGAAATATTGGGATATGGGTGGGGGGGGGTTACAGTTTATACAGATTCATATATTCGAGGGATTTGTATGTGTATGAGAAGGTGAATTTTTCACTTTACACAGCTTCCATACCGATTATACAAAACAGGGATGCTGTGAACCTGGAGCCTGTCCTATACAGCAAAGAGCACGAGGTACCTTAGGTGGGATGCCAGTCCATCCCATGGCAGACATTCTGATGTCGGTTTACCTAACTGCGTGTTTTTGTACTGGGAGATAATATGCCAGATACAGAATTGGGAGTGGAATTCACCCAACCCTCTGAGATACTGAGTCCCCCTGATAAAATCAGCTACATTATTCTTATACATAGAGTATGATAGTCAGGAACCATACCGAGGCTAAAGACTAGGGGCCTTTGCTAAAAGGTGGCCTCCCCAGTTGACAAATTTTACTGTTGCTCTCCCCCCATCCAAAAACTTTTTCCATCGCCAAGTCTCTCCCTCCATCAACAACTACACCATCATATCAATATTGATCCAGTATTTTGTTCATATTCCTTAATTTTTCAGCCACATATCCTGGGTCATCCGAACCCTATGCCAGGCATTATAGAGCGCAGGGCTGCCAGTCCATTACAGAACACAGGCAGCATGAAGCCTGTGCCTTTGGACTGCAGGGGGAAGCCTACACAACTCACGGTGAACATTTCTACTCTCACAGCGCAGGATTTGAACCCCCATAACTCAACTTGGACAGTGGCAGTGCTACTTACAGAAGCATCAGATGTGATGGCTGAAAATAGACAAATGAGTGGAGGGTTAGATTATTAAACTACAGTTCAGTCATACTGCAGTCCTCAAATATGGATTTGTTTGAGTAAAATCGCTGATGACATGGATATCTAGCAATCTGTGAAGCAATTGCAGATCTAAAGTATTTTATCAGTTCTTGTCATTCATTTTTGTTTACTTGAAGCGTAATGTGTGTTAGGCATCCATATTAAAATCCATCCATTCATCTTCCAACCATTTATCCTAGTCAGGGTCAAAGACTCGAATTTACTAATATATTTCTTTTCTTAGACTATCTAGACTCATTCTGATATTAGCAAACTAGATTACCACATACTTTAAAACTGATAACCGCAATAGTGTTTGCTTTCATGGCGGTGATATGCTAACAATTAGACCACAATCACATGCAGTTGTACCGGGCTGACAGTGGCCTTAAAACTCATTTTGCTATTTGATCTGTTTATTGAATAGCTGACTGTTGTATTGTGTTCATCCTGCTGCACATCGGCCACTGTGTTATTCTCTCAGGATACTAGTTTTCTAGTTTTTTTTTCCACCTTAAGACTTGCCAAGAACACTTTTTGAATGAGATCAAAGTTCAGCAGCATAATTTGTTTAGCGACCCCTTCTGTCAGTGTTTATCGGCTATGGCTAATGAATGCTTGACTAATTAGGCTATTGTTGCATTGTTACGCTACACATATTCTGAACTTGAAAGGAGAGAAATGAACTTTCCATATATATATTTTGTAAAATATAATCATCAAGGGCTTGGAATGTCATCAATTATTTGGCTTTAAATACGAGTTCTTAGCATAATGGGATATTGTGCTTGACAGGGTTTCATACAGAGGTAGTAAGTCTGTATTACATAGCAATGCCACAATGATGAGCACATGAACTTTGCATTTGAAAATAAAAATAAAATTAAACTATCAGCATTCCGATTTTGTTTTATTCCGATCACTATTATGATGTAACTCATATACCCTCATTTGTCTGGGTAGGATAAGTGTTTTCAGGGTGTAACCAGGGAGTCAACTGAACGGTGATGTATTTTAGGGAGGGTCTATAGATTAGAGGGCTGTGGTCTTCATATCAGACAACTTCTGTTCATTATTGGTCTTTATCACTCAGCAGAGAAACTCTAAGAAAACAAGATAATGACTACTGTTAAAGTTAGCCCCAGTCCAGTTCTTCAAAACTTTTTTTCACCAGAAGTGAAATCATCTTTACTCTTACAAGTGTACCGTTAGATTTGTACACCCCTGTACCCAACTGATCTATAGTTGTCCAACTGGTTTAGTTGTGAAACACTACATACTACAATCCTTTTTACAAAATTAGCATAAACAATAGTTGTGACATGTGAATGAGATTCTAAGGCGATTGACTCAGCAGTGACTGTAAAAGTGAAGATTATTTACAACAAACCAAATCAATAAATGTAGCATTCACAAGTGAATCAGATCTGAAAAATAATTCTCCATTAGTTGTTTATGCTAGGATTGTTTTATTAGTGATATGGACATTTGGATCTCATTATGGTAACTGTAAAAATAACACCCAGTATGACAATTGCAGGGATCAGAGATATGTACAGGGACAAACTGGGCAGACAGTGAAACCCCAGCAGTGTCTCTTGAAATGTTTGAGATCAGTTCAGGTCAGATTCTGGAGCGTAATGGCGGACAGGCGAACTGGGCCTTGCATTCCTGTGGCAAGACAGCTTCAACAGCGCCCTGGGTACATTCCTGGCTTGGCTCGTGGTGGCGTTCCTCCTCCAGGCTTGTGACCAGCTTAATGCTCAGGGGTCTGAGTCTGATGGCTAGATGTCGAGGCTCGCAGAGGCCGCTGGGGGCCAACTGGCCGAGAGACCCCCTGGACTCAAAGGTGAAGACTGATGCGACGTCCATGTCAGACGGAGAGAATGCAGCAGCGTCAACATCTCTTTACCACCGTCAAGGGGTGTACCTAGAAATTCTGGGCACTCTGACAAAATGTCACCTTGGCTCCCCCCACCAAGAATAAAAAAGTTTTTGGTGTATAGCTGATTTTTTTTTTTTTTACATGCTTTGTAAATAATTTATTTTCTAAGCCTCATCTCTTATTTGCTGGATCTTGTTGCGGTTTGAATTTCACTTAAAGATGAATTTAAACCGACTAGTGAATGGTTTTCTCCTGGTAACAGCAGCAGTGATTGTAGAAACAGCTGCTCTCCTCTGTAAACACACAGTAATGGGGACGTACAGAAAGCTGTTTGCAGGTTTGTCATGCATCGGTTACGTTTCCTTGTGAGAAAATGAGAATACACCATGCATTAGTTCCATGCAGCATCATGTATTACTGGCTTAATATTTCGTCCATTAAAAAATGGCTGACAGAATTCCTTTCTCTGCAAATGCATGCATTTCTTCAGCTTGTCATGGGGGCACTAATGCACATTTCCACCTCAGTCAACCAAAGTGTGAGCTGAACTAAACGCCTTCAGCCTCTCCACCTCCCACCGCCCACTCTCTGATTATATTATGCTGGCACCATTTTGTTTAGACCCCTTAAGATACCAGCATGCATTCCTGACATTCTGCTCCTCTTGGGCACCGTGGTCCTTGTACATGGGGCGGAGGTAAACGGACACACCCCAATGAGGCACCTGGAAGTGAAAAGGGGCAAGCAAGTTGCATTGCATGCCAGGAATTGACATGAAGCCTGCTTGCCGTAAGTCGAGTTGTGATGTAACTTGTGACAACTTGTACATATTGTCCAAAAGGCATTTAGTTAAAAATGAGTAAGTAAATGAAAACCTGCTTCTGCATGCAGTTGTAAATCCAGTTTCGGTGACTCTTCGGTGTCCTGCTGGAGTGACCAGCTGTCTGGTGTATTGTCTGGTGCTCCACACTGCATCCCAGCTAGCAAGGGTCACCAAAAGCTGTGGGAAAACTTCTGATTCCCTCACTGGGGCTTGGAAAGAGGTTGAGGGTGCTCTTCCGGGCCAGGGGGGGGTCTAGGGGAGTCAGGATATCACTGGTGCTGTGGAGGCATGGTCAATAACTCAGGCCAGGAAGCCTGGAAGTACGACCACAAACTTTTGAGTGCAGTGTCACTACAGTGCCACCTGCAGGATTATGTATTTTTGGTGCACCTGAGGGCATCCTGGGAGTGTCTAATAAAGGCATTAAGTACTTGAGCGATTTAATATCATTTAAAAGAACAGTAAAACCCTTTATAAATGTAAAGCTAAAATAAGGATGTAATTTAAAATGTTAATCCAAGATCCCTTGATATTAAAGAATTCATGAGGACATTGAGACCGCAAGATGAAAAGGAATGAGGGAAAATTCATAAGCTGTTTTGTTCTTGTATAACGCAAGGTAATCCAGTGTGTCTAATGCATAATCTCATTGGCACATTCTGGTTATATTACCACACAGGCCCCTAAATTAGATGGTGCTTTGAGCCAAGACAGGAGATACAAGAGGCACACATGCGGCCCTACCGCTGGAGAAAGGGCAGGCAGGGAGAGGGGTCTGGCCAGTGTAATGGGACTGTCTCTACCACTCTCCAGTGTGTAACCCAATTCTATGCAGATCAATGAACTCCCTGCTCATTCATGTTACCTCAACACTGGCTTAGTGTCCATCTGTTGAAGCAAAGTCGTAGGAGAGAGTTCAGTACTGGGGGGACTCAACTTACATTTACATTTAGCTAATTTATCTGACACTTTGATCCTTTGTATCTTATAGTAGAGGGAAGGGGTTGAATCTATTAGTAATTTTTTTATGTGCGGTCCCAGGGATTTGAATTCAGAATTATTGCATTTTTTGGGTGGGGCAAATGAAGCCAAATTAAATACTGAGGAGTACATACAAGGGTACTGCTAGAGATATTGAATCCAGACCAATACAATTATGCTCCAATTTTCAGAGCCTGTCAGTTGGGGCCCTTGGAATCATCTTAACTTTCCCCACTTCCACACCCCCATCCCTACGGTCCTGTGTTGAGGGAACGACGGGAAATCCCTGAGGGGAAAATGGGGGGCGACAACAGAAGAGATTCAAAAGAAAACAACTTTATTGGCAAACCTTCCCGCGTGGCTTGTTATGGATCTGGACTCTGTCAGGGCCAGCTGAACTTAAAGAGGATCCCTCCCGGGGTAGGACCCGGCCCTGTCAACAGCATCCGTCAACGGCTTCCGGGGCCCCGGGCCGACACGGCGTCTCCTAAAACAAAGGCCACCCAGCAGCTCCCAGACGAGCTGGGTCACGCAAACGCCACCCCCAACGAGGGGGATGGTCACTCTGCTCAGCCACAGTGATGGCAAGAGGTCTGCCTGCCATTGGCTGTGGCTGATTGATGTCTTCACTGTGCCAGTGGGGGGGGCATGTAAAGGCCAGCAGTCACAGACATAATGACCTGCGTCTGTTTACTCAGCATTACGAACTGGTCCTTTGCAAAGACCCCTGACGTGTCACACCTTTTTTTGAAACCATGAAAAATATTGTTCATTTCAAAATGTGTTTCTGGGTCTTTTTTTTATCTGCCAGTGGTTTTTTTATGGTGGTGCATTTTAGCAGAGGAGTCAGGTGACAGTCAAATAGCTGCTGGTCATAAACCACACAGGCAGGCTGCTTGTTTGTCCTGTAACCGAGAATGCCAGTGAAAACAAAAGGAACCCGATCTTCACAGCCCCCCAACCCTCCAGGAACACAAAACACATTCTTAATCTCCCGAAGAAAGTCGTATTCTCCACCCATTCTCATTTTGTTGAGTTTGGTAGAATAAGAACATGTTAAAGCTTAACTACAAACTATCACAACTAATCCACTAAGAAAAACTAAGCTGATCATCACAATGTGATGTAGCATGATTACATTAGATGTTTTTTTCTTTAATGATAAGTTATATATCTGCGTAGACAATTATTAAATTATACCAAATTCTTAAATGAACAAATTAAGACAGACTGGTCCTAATTCCTATATTCATCACTGACTTGACATCTTGTATCACTTTATACCCAATAGAGTGAATTAAGCAGTACTTAAGGGTAATACATATGACTACACTGGCTATTACTGGCACTCACAGCCCCATAAAATACCTTTTCTCCATGAACATTTTTCCCAACAATGACCACCTATATGACAACGCTAAAGCAAATATGCACTGAAGTAAGATACAATACAGTTAACATTCAAACATTTCATTCTGAATAATAATAAAAAAAACTAAATCCATATTCTTTTAGGTGACAGCTAGTTGAAATTAAGATAACTAAAAAGAAACAAAAAAATATTCCTTATCAGGAGGAGCTAGTTTAAGATCTAAGAAGTTTTGACAAGTGCTTTGTATACGTTTAGGTGAAAATGGGAGGGAAAAAAATTTCCACGACAGATTCGGTCCAGATTAGGAGAATCTTTATCCATCTTTAAAGGTCTTATTTCGGTCACAGTGAGTGTAGAGAATATTCATAGAAGCATGAAGTAAATGCCCAGAGAGAGCCTGGAGCAGATAAGAGCCTGGTGCGGATAACAGTCTGTCACAGGTCACACAGTCATGCATGGAGTCACATACCAGACAATGCAAGAAACCAGTGGGGAAAAAAGAGACATCATTGAATGTTTTATATAATATTTCACATCCACAAAGTTCTCAAAAATCTCTACATTGACACATTTCTCCGTGCAAATAAGGAATCATTCTCTGTACACATAAATATTGCATATTACCTGCTTCAAGATCCGTATGCATCATGACAACTTCTTTAAAAAAGAAAAGAAAAAAAAGCAATAGTTATCAGTGATTTCTGGGATTAAGCACTTTTAAGGGGTCCAGCCAAGGGGATCAGTATTTGTGGCAGCGGACAGGAAACGCAGCAGGGCAACCCCCGAACTCCCAAAGGAGGTTCAGCTGAATGGTACTGTATCTTATCCAGTCACTGGTTGAGACCGTAACTTGTCAGAAAGTTTAGACACCCTCCTAAATAAATATTTCAAGAAAAAAATACTCTAAACACTCTTAAGCTCATAAGGTGTTTGAGTTACTCTTCCTGGTTCAGATGCCATAAAATGCACTGGAAGCCCTCAATCAGGCTGCTCTTTCATAAAGATAAAAAATAAAAACACAGTAAAATTAAAAGTGAAAAGGCGATGAGGACACCAAGACACCCCCTCTTCATTAGCAAGTGAGGTGTGAACATCTAAAACAGACATTTAATCACAGCATCTACAATCACGGGTCTTCCTGTTGCGTACATAAATAGGCTGTGTCTTACTGGTTGTATACCCACAATGCTTTCAGCATATCTTGATTTGAATTTGATTCAATTTCTCCAAAAGATCTCCCAACACAACACACGTGTACAGTATGGGAGGACAGATTAAACTTGGAGACAGACTCCAACAATGATCTCTCTCGCTCTCTCTCTCTCACACACACACACACACAGACACACACACACAGACACACACACACAGACACACACCTGTAGTAATACAGATTATCCTTATTTGCTCTTTGTTTCAATGTGCAAAACTGCACAAAAAGAAAAACAAAAATGCCACAAAACCCTCTGTGCAAACTGGCTTCCTGCTGCCGTACAAGGAGAAGACTCCAGCCGTAACCCTGCACACATGGACCTCTGCTTGTGTGCACATCGCATTACAAAAACATTTAGCAGCAATATTTTTCAAGCTTCTGGGTTCAACATTTCTATGCTGTGGCTACGTCTACTCGGAGGGGCTGGACGCCCCCATCCACCGACAAAGCTCCTATGGTCATGTGATCTATGCCGATTGTTCGGTATGCTTCCGCGGCACGGACAACAGCACCAACAGGTGTTCGCCTCCACAGATGCTCAAGACAGACGTTCACTTTTACAAAAGGAAGAAAGGGGGATTGGGATTTTACATCAGACTTAAGTGCTGCCCCAAAGCCACCCAGAGGGGTGGCTGAGTTCTGAAAGGTTACTTGTTCATCACATTTCCCAACAAGGTCAACCGCTGCTCAGATTGCATATCCAAAATTCCCATGATGCCTCAGAGACTAAGGCCTCATAATTACAACCCTTTAAAGAGAAGAGGTATTAAGATGGAGGCTCTGCTGACATGAGGCCTGCCAGGGAAAGATGGAGGTGATGGTGATGGAACCTAAACATTAACAGCGACGGACGAAGCACCCAGACCCGCTTCCAACCACTGAACGGAGGAGGGGCCAGTAGAAGACGAGGCAGGGCCACGGTGGGTCATATGATGGTGAATGCGGCGCAGTCGCAGCAGGTACAGCATGATAGACAGTAGCACCACCAGGAAGCAGGCCAGGAACAGGTAGTGGTTGACGACGAAGGAGAAGCTATGGTGCCAGTGAGAGTGCGCCCCCTTGAGGCTCTCCTGCTGAATGTCCCTAAAGGGCCATTAACAGACAAATGTTCTTTGTTACATGGGATGGGAAGTGTGCATATCACAAGGCCAATACCATGCATTCCAATATGGACTGGTTCGATGCTTTCTGCTGCGATTTTGGATAGTTACAGACCCATTGGTAAAAGAGCCAGTACTTCATTTGATCAAGTAACGTTATCACAAAAACAGAACTGGGCAATTGTCACAGATGTTTAATATGTGAAGATACCTCAAAGGCAGGAATCGAGTTCGGTACAGGATGGCGCCCAGCGTCCACTGCACCTCCTTCTCGTAAACCAGCAGGGCCGTCTTCAGGTTCCCATAGTCCATGGGGAAGGAGAAGCCGGAGTGGAACACCTCGTACATCCAGGCGGACTTGAAACATTGGTACCTGCAGTGTGGGCAGGACAATAGCAACCTCAGAGTGATACTTTAAGGGCGGGCTAATGTACGCACAGGAATGGTCAGGTCCTGAAGGAACGTACTTCAGTCTGTGAAGGTCAGCGTGGGAGGCGTAGAGGCTGCGGTCAAAGCGCTCCTTCAAGGTCCGCCACTGGGTGGCACAATAGCCCTACATAGGAACAGCAAAAAAATACACCAACCTGCCATCAGCCTGTGTGAGTCTCCTGCTTCAAAAGTCAGGTCTTAAGGTAATGAGAAGGCACCAGCTTTGGAGAAAATATTCTAGATCTCACATATGATCCTTGTAACCTGCCGCATGGGACATGTTCCTTGCGTTGCGTTGTGTGAGATTACGCCATAAATGCAGTGTGACGTGATTGGGACGTTGGCTCACCCCAGCTGCCCGGGTGTACTTGGTGGCGTTGTAGTCCCCCCCCATGCGCAGGACATCTTCCGTGCAGTAGTAGAACTCGGAGAAGCCGTAGAACTGGCTGTTGCGGTAGTCTATGGGAGGCTGGTAGACGCCGTTGAGGGATGACTGCGTCTCGTTGGTGCGGTTGAGGAAGGGTTGCAGTAGCAGCCGGCAGCGGTCAAAGTCGCCCGTGCCCCGGAGGTGCACTGTGCGGCCCGCCGGGCCCACCTCGTCCTGCAGGTCCCGGGGGAGGCAGGGGTCCAGGACGGGCACCTCTGCGGACTCCCCGAGGTGCTGCCCAGTAAGCCTAGGCGCACAGAGGGAGGGATGGGAGATCAGCAGCAACTCGCTTCAATAGGAGTGATTCTTCTCACCTGCAATACTAAACCCTCACTCCGCAGGCAGTAAAGCCATCCTCCAATGAGCATGAGCCTTGGCATGCCTGCTGCTGCTCTCATTGTCGAGTATACACTGTAGGGCAGGGGTGGGCAATCTTATCCGCAAAGGGTCGGTGTGTATGCGGGTTTTCGCAGCAACTCCATAATTAGAGGACTGATTGGCTGAAGAGTCCTCACACCGGGGTTTGAACAGCTGACCTACAGGTTATCCCAAAAACCTGCATGCGCACCGGCCCTCTGCGGATAAGACTGGCCACCCCTGCTGTAGGGCTTTGGTGGTGTGTGGTTCAGAAAGTTAGGACACGGGATCAAATCCCATGGGCGGGAAAGTCATGCCGCAGTTGGGCCCTTAAGCACAGCCTTTAACCCTAACTGTGGCAAGGGCGCTGGATGCTGACTGACCCTGTGATCTAACCCCAAATCTTGAGCACACCAGTATACATGCATGCGCGTCTCATGAAGATCGAACACGGCCTATATGACAGCTACTGAATTTTACTTCCCCCACAATAACGTTTATGTTAACCTGTCATAACTCCCCAATTGAAAACTCTCATCTAAGATTTTTGGCTCCTAAGTCTTGCAGAATCATTCATATAAAAGATTCATGCATCTGACCACTAGCTAATGTGTATTACATAACATGCACTTAGCATCTATTGCTAACTAATAACACACCATGGCTTCACTGCAGCTGCTGGAAGGTATAGCAAACAGATTACAGCCTTGTCGGCCTGTTAGCTAGCAGCCCAGGGACACCAGCCTCACTTGTTGTGCAGCAGAGTTCTGCTGACGACGTCCTCTTCATACCGTTGACGGGCCGCGTTCCCCCCAAAGCCCAGGAAGGTGGAGACGTACACCCGGTAGACGTGCTCAGTGCGATGGGCATCGCAGCCCAGGTTGAACTCCGCCAGGAGGTTCTTGGCCACTTCCTCCTGCGGGACACTTTGAGATGAGCCGGAGAAGAGGAGGACAGACCTCCAGCCCCTTCACGCACCAGTGGCACTGGGCCGCAAATCATGCCAAATGCTGCCAGTAAGCAGGCCAAAGAAGAGGAGAAGGGGCGCCTACTTGAATCAGCAGCAGTTATGCAAATTACGCAAAAAGCAGAGCTAAAGTCAAAGCAGAAACCCCATAAAGACGGAACCACACGGACAAAACTATATAACATGCTGCCAAGATGAATGTGCCCCAGCCTGCCTGCCACCCCTCAGAGCAGAGGGAGGGGAGTGAGGAAACATCCAAGGTTAGTATCTTAGCATCTAGAGCTGAGCAGGTCACACCAAGCGGCGCTCAGCATGCTGCGGAGAGTGCGATCTAAAGGCAGCCTTCATTGCAAGACATAACGCTCCAGATTACACACAGTGCTGTGCCGTTATTGAATGAAGCAGCAGGCTTAATTAGTCCTTAATGTACAGAAAGGACTTTGCCTTGAGAAATCGGGGGGGGGGGGGGGGGG